CTTACTTTTTGTACAAGCTACCATGACAATGGATAACCGAAGCTCTTCTCTTGTTAGGATTGGAAGGAAACGAACGTAATCATATGCATTTGGTCATGATCACAACTTTATTTTCACTTGTAATAGATAATAGTTAGATAGTTCTAAGTAAGGAGAAGAGTATGGAAAGAATCTAGCTCGGTTCGTATCAAGAATCGAGAGATCATCCTTGATGCAAATGCATCTCCCATTCTTACTTTTTGTACAAGCTGCCATGACAATGGATAGCTGAAGCTCTTCTCTTGTTAGGATTGGAAGGAAACTACCGCAATCATATGTATTTATTGATTCCTTCTTTAATGAAATTTTGTTCTTCATAATTATCGATTAAATCTTGTTTTGTCATTCTAAATCTATGAACATGAATCATGATTGAAAAATACATTTGTATTCAATTTAAAGATTATAATCGGTTAAGTGCTTCGTTCTAGACATAGAACTAAGGGTTAAAATTTCATAAACAACATTCGGTTTTTAATGCGATTGTTTAGTTTAATTGATTGAGAAATCACCAGTTAAACTAAACCAATTTAAATCTCAACAAGCATATAGACATATATTCTGTTGTGAGTTAATTCAATGAAGTTAATGTGAAAAACAAGTTCTTTAAAGAAGTATCAACCAAATGCATACGTGTACGGTAGTGGAATTTCAATCCTAACAAGTTCTCCATCATTTAATCCTTAGTTTCACAAGTTTGATTTTATATTTTGTAACTTAAAAACAAATGAATTTACAAAGTTCACTTAAAAAAGATAACAATTGTCTTAGCGTTGGTAATATCATGTCGATCTCTATGGATACGATACTTAATATTTTCTTTTAATTTGCTCAACATCAAAATGGTGCTGTTGCCGGGGACTGGCGTTTAGATTTATGAACATGTTGACTATTGATATCTTTTTAAGTTGTATATTTGTTGATGTCAGAGCAAGAGGAACATAATGCGGAAATCTGAATGGAGATTGATAAGTTGAAATCAGGCATGACCAAGCTTACCGAGATGCTTCAAGTACTGATTGCCAGAGGAAAGCCACCTTAGAGGACTGTCATTCAGGAAGTTTCAAGTGCTGATCCACCTCCTGTTCAAATGCCACCCTCTACTTGGCCAGAGTTTGGTTTACCTCCTAACTACTCTCCACCTCTTGCATCTGCTGCTATGATTGGTCAGACTGTCAGACCGGTTTTTCAAGCTCCCGTCCTTGCCGAGGCCAGACCTGTGGTCCACACTGTTAACCAGACTGTCCAAGCTCCCTTTGAGAATCCTCCCTATGAGTACAATGCTGTCGGTGTTCAAGGGGAAGACCATGAAGATTTTGTTGAGCCTGATATTACCCGTGAACAGTTTCAGATCATAAACAAGAGACTCCGAGCTGTCGAGGGTACTGATTTCTTCAACGTTGATGTCGACAATATGTGCCTAGTTTATGGTCTCGTTTTTCCTGGCAAATTCAAGACTCCTGAGTTTGTGAAGTATCAAGGTTACTCATGTCCAATGACCCATCTAGTCATGTGATTCTGAAAGATGGCAGCTTACACCAACAATCAGAAGCTGCTCATCCATTGCTTTCAGGACAGTTTGAGTGGTGCTTCTCTCAAATGGTATATGAATTTAGAGCATAACAGTGTCCACTGCTTCCAGGATCTCGCCAACGCTTTTATGAAGCAATACAAGTAAAATTTGGACATGGCTCCCGATCGCCGTCAACTTCAAAGTATGTCTCAGAAGGAAAGAGTGTCGTACAAAGAATACGCTCAGCGTTGGAGGGAGTTAGCCTCCCAAGTTGAACCCCATATAGAGGAGAAGGAACATCCAGAAAAATCCTTTGCCAGTGCATCAAAAGTGAAGTTTCGGCCTGACCCCAACATATTATTTTCCTAAACGCCAGTGTTTCAGACAGGACAACTCCTCTTTGTACTAATTTAGTCACTAGGCCTTTTGTTGCTTATTTGTTTGCACTTTCCTTATTTTGTTTAAACTGTTTGCTTTTAATTAGTGTTTGTACTTTCATACCAATGAAATGAGCATTTCAACTTTTGATTCTATTATTTGCACTTTTATACTTTATCTTTCAAAAATTTTACTTGTCCAAACTTTTGATTATGCAAATATTTGAGGGAGGATGATGAAAACATTATAACCATAACTGCTGTCAGTATGCTTTCAATCAAACTTTGTTGACAATGTAAGGCATTGTTTCAACTCCCAAACACTGGAGAAATAAGGAAGTTATTCCCTTGTCAACCCCTTTCGAGCCTAGAAGTTGGAGTTTCTTTCTTTACAAAAAACCCGCAATCTTAACCTTGGGATGGGTAGTTCTCAGTTAACTTGGTTGTATGTTCATAAAATACACCTTTCATATAAAGGTCGCACTCACAGTTTATTTCCTTCACACACAACAAGTAAGTGTCGAAGATGTTTTCCAAGTCAAAAACCGATGATGGTTCACCGTGATCATTTAATCCAGGTAGTCACTTTCTAAAAAAAAACTAAAAAAAAAGCCCACTAAGTCAAAACCTATGAAGGAGACTTAGGCAAAACTGGGGCATCCCGCAAACTGTGTCCTTTAACAGAAACAGTTCAGGCAAAAGTTAGAGATAATAAAAAGAGGAGATCTTTAAATCCTTACCCTGAAAATCCTTAATGTCAAAACAATCAAATGTTATAGGGAAGTAGTGGCTGCCTTTTCATAGGTCCCTTAACTTCTGAACCATCATTGCTACCATCAGTGCAATTCCTAACCTATAGGAACCTGAATGCATAATATGAGTTAACTGAGCGTAGGACTGAAGATTATCACGTAGATAGGGTGGGTACAAATAAGGTTTGAGCCTTTATCCTTCGTTTCATAAACTGTGAACCAGGCCACGTTACAACCCTCAAAAGACCTAATTGAAGCAAGGTTATTTTGAAAGCATACTATAACAAGGTTGCGTAAGCTGAATCTAAAAGATCTTTGCGAATAATTTATTTTGACAGTACGCCTTTATTTTAAACTTTGAGCGTTTTGAACCACCGTGTTCTGACCAACGACTCATTTATTTTTCATCTTTCAAAAAGGATTTTGGTTTCAAAAGTTGCTTGAACTTTGCATTACCATGTTTGTATGAATATTTTTGTTTGCAAACTGGCTTTCCTCTAAGGAATTTTCAAACAATCGGGAAACTTGGTCAAGTGGCCCTATCAGGGGCAAGTTTCTTTTACATCCTGTCTAAGAGTCAATTCAAAATTTGTTCATGGCAAGTCTTTCTCAGACTTAGTTTATCCAGAAGATTTTTCAAGACTCATATTGGGGCAAGCCTTCCGAGGGTACAGTAAAACAATCATTTTCACGAATCAGACAAGCTAAAGCATTATCAGCTCATCTACAACAGACGACTTAATATGGGGAAGTTTACTTGAAGGATCCCCAGACAGCTCTTCATCCGTCCTACAAGGATCATCACTTGATACAACTTAGAAGTGTGGCAGAGATATGCTCAGAAGTAACATCTTTAGTCCCCAAGCAGAATGATAGTGATCTCCGTGTTGAGGAATCAGTCTTCCAGTCTTGTCATCACACCAAAAGAGTCGAGCCTTGTCATCGGCGTCTGCATTTGCATTTAATCATATATCATTTGCACAACTCACATACGTATGCATATCATAAGTGTTTCATCCTTATTTGCATTTCTCTCAAGGTCGTGTTTATCCATGTCTCACCTTGTGGTCAAAGTCCAACTCACTTGGAACCTACCCAACCGTTTGTGTCGTGTCTATCTGACGTTCTTCCAGATATGTCATTTCTTATCCGATTGTTTTTCCGGATATGTCTGTTCCTCTTACCCCTAATACCACTCTCAGATATCGTGATTATACCTTTCATTCAAAGCCATTATTGGATGTCTGGTATCTTTTTATCCAATGTCATTCTTGGATGTCACCTTTTGTTTCTCTCTCTCTGATGTTTTTCCAGATCGAGTCTTTGTTATAATGTTCTTCCAGAACTTATCTGATGGTTTTCCATATATTCCCTTTGATTCTGACATTTTTCCAGATACGTCTCTCTCTCTGATGTTTTTTCAGATTGAGTCGTTGTTCTGATGTTCTTCCAGAACTTATCTGATGGTTTTCCAGATAGTCCTTTGTGATTCGGATGTTTTTCTAGAATCTATCCGATGTTTTTCCGGATATATTTCTCTTCCTGATGTTTTTCCAGTTTGAGTTTTTGTTATGATGTTCTTCCAGAACTCATTTGTTTCTCCTTCTGATGTTTTTCCAGATTGAGTCTTGGTTCTGATGTTCTTCCAGAACTCTTTTGTTGCTTATCTAATGTTCTTCCAGATATTGCCTTCAAACTTTTCCTGTACATTTAATGCTTTCCTAAATGTTTCGGATGTACCTTCCGAGCCTTGTCTTCATCGCATGCTCCTGTAGATGTTTTTATTTTGTTTCTGGATACAGCCCATAGTTCATTCGATGTTTTTCCGAGTGTCTCTGGTGTGTTTTAGAGTTCATTCGATGTTCTTCCGGATGTTTCTGATGTTTGTTTCTCCCTGTATATTTTCCGACAATTCCTGAAGATCCCGCTTGATCTCTTTGTTTAAAGGAATGTACTGAAAACTCCAGCACTTGTCGTTTACCTGATCCTACCGCCATGTGGATCCTGTGTTACCTTGTCGTTCTAGAGGGCCAGTCAGTCATGCCTGAATCCGTTGCACCGTTACTCTTGGATATTCCCCTATGGAGGCCGTCTCGTCGGTGCCCTCTCCATCAAGGATCTCATTCTTATCGTTCCTCCTAAAATGACAATCGATGACATTTCATACAATACGGTGGTCTCCACTCATATTCCACCATTTGCTGCATCTTTTCTCCATTGTCGTCCGTAATGGTTATTTCCTTAATCAGCTCTTGGGTGATGTCTATTTCGAGTAGTACTCTAGCATATGAAATACGATATCTATTGGCGGTACATTCATCAGTCATTAGCGGGGTTCCGAGTACACTTGCTAGCTTTGCCAAGGATTTTTCCCCATAGATGGAGTGGCAATTGGGGAAACTGGACCCAAACCGGGATGGTACGCAGCATATCAGTCTTCAAATTGAAATTTGGCTTCCATTCAGCTAGTAACATCAGCATGTTTCGTATGGTATACGGTCCCTTCAATAGAACAGTGTCTCTTTCTTTATGCGAATGAAATCTCAGAATAAAATAGCCTTCGTTATTGTAGTACATGTCAGGTAACTTGATGAAATTCCATTGTTTTGTCATGAACTGCTTGACACCATTCATGCTTAATTCACCACCCAGAACATACATTATCAAAGAGGTTTCCCAGAATTTCACCTCGTTGATAGTATCTTCTTCCTCAATTATAACCTCCGGTACTCCATTGACAATCTTTGGTGCTATGAATTCGAGTGATAATCCATTACCTGGGTTGCGATTTCTGCTAATGACGTTAACCCAGAGTTTTCTGGGTTCGTTTATCCCCTTCTCTGCTTCTAGGGTTTCATGGATTTCCTGGTTCTCTGCAATCGCTCCTACTGTTTTCTCTTTTCCATGTTCCATTGTTGTCTCAGATGTTGAATCTTTATTGCCTTGCTGATCATCGTTTAGATTACCAGTTGATGTTTCCGGCGTTGCCACCACCTTTTGTGGTCGTCCGCGCCTGCCCATCTCCGTAATTTTAATGCTTTTTTTTTATGACAAACATTAAATATGTTAAAAGTGTGTTTGAGTATATTATAATTGTACAGACACAAAACATGTCATCATGTCAATCTAAACAACCCGAGCCCTTATATAAAGACTTATCCATAGGCAATAGTCATTGGTTAATTCCAAAGATAAAAAGAGGCTCAACATGATTTGTAGATTTTTGAGTGATTAAGGTTCAAATACTAAAACACATAGTTTTATTTAGCTTTTGCTCCATATAAACCATTAAAAATAACATTAACATAAATGTTATGTTGATATTTCCTTGAAATATCGCTTTTTGTAGGTGAGGAACTCTTCCATAACATAATCACTAAGCTAATGCAGCAGGGTTGATTTTCTTGATGAATGTGTAACATTCCGAAAAATTAAGCGGTGAACTTAGTAACATATGAGAGAAAAACTTATTAAAATCAAACCTTTTTCAAATCTCCTTTAGCACTTGTCACACCCTAAATTTTGTCCTTCTTTTTTCAAATATTTTCGTATTTTCGATTCTATTTTATTTCACTTTATTTCATGCCATTTAGACACGTCTCCACCCTCGATTAGGTGTTTTTCAAATCTCCGTTATTTTGCCCAATAGGAACGTGACACGTGGCCAAATTGTATTTTTGTAAATTTTAATTCCATTTTTATTTTTTTCATTTTCTTTTCAAAATGTTAATTTCTTGCATATATTTTGCTTGTTAATTAGATTTTAGAATTTATTTTTATTTTTAGGTTTAATATTTAGAATTAAAATAGTTTTATTATTATTAATTTTTAGGTTAGTTAGAATAGAATAGCTTTTATATTAGAATATAACTTTAGCTAGAACTTTATTAGTTTCATAAAAGAATAGATTTTTTTAATTAATTTAGAAATAGAAGTTGTTTAGGTTTAATTTAGTAGTTGTTAGAATTATTTTTCATTTTAGAATAGTTTTAGAAAATAGTTTTTATTTATTTTTTATATATGGCTTTTTAATAGTTTTATTTTATTTTTATTAGAAGTTAAATAGAATATTAGGATTTTGTTAATTTAAATTTATTAGATTAATTGTCTAAGTTTAGATTTGAATAAATAGATTAGTTTTAATTATCTAGCTAGATTTTTAGTTAAAGTTAATTAGAAATTAGTTTTAGAATTAATTGGTAATTAGAGTTATTATTAGTTCATTAGTTAATTAGAATTTTATATTAGGATTATTTATTATTAATTTTGTTTAATTAATTAGCTTAGTTAGAATTATATTATTAGGATAAAGTTATTAGTTAGGGTAGATTAGTTTGGTTTATCTGTTAAGGTATTATTCAATGCATGTCATTTAGCATATAATTGAACCATTTCCATTAATTAATCAAGTCATTAACATCAGCCAGGATAGCCACATATCAAAAATCTGTAGTATATAACACTATTCATCATCTCCCAACCTGAGATAACCCTAACCCTAGACCAACCCTAGCAGCCTCCCTTGGTTCCTATTCATCGTCATCAACAACCGACCGCCGCTCCAACTCTTCATCACATTCACCTCCATCTCTTCCAGAAACAAAAACAACCATCATTCTCTCTTCACTCGCCAAAAACCCACTTCACTACTACGAATCATTACCGTAACCACCATTAACCAACCTTCGAAACCCGTTTTTCAACCCAGTAAAACATGACGAAACCCGCCTCACTCAAACCAATCTCACATCCAACCCAGAAGTTTCATCAGCAAAACCAACAGAACCCATTTCTTATTTCCTTCAAAACCATAATTCGGATTTCTTCAACCCTTTTCACCATTTCCAGATCTTCAACCAACCTTCAAAAAACCCAAACGAAACCCATATTAAACCTTCATCGTTCTCAGATACGACCCAGATTCGCCTAGAAAAACTTCATAACACCGACAACCCTTTCAAATCAACCCAAACCCTCAGCGAATCGCATCAAATAACCCTTTCCCAGACGAACATCAACCTCTCTAAACCCAGTTTCTGCAAACCACTTCGAACATCAACCAGGTTTCAACAATCTCAACACAAAACCCTCCGTCAAACCACCCTTCAACCTTCAACTCATCTACTTCAAACTTTGCCACTTTCACACCAAAATCGACCCATTTTTTTCTTAACACAAATATCAAAACCAAGAATGACAGAGGGAGATCTAACGGAAAATTTGGAGATGTTTGATTTTGAGATTGATTTGTGAAGTTGTGAAATTGAGTGAGGAAGAAAGGGTCGAGCAGAGAGAGCATTAGAGAGAGAGAGAGAGAGCGAAATACGGAGAGGGAGACTTTTTGTTTCTATTGTTCTTTTTGCTGTTTTTTTTATATTTTCATTTTTTATTTTTTTGACTGACTTTGGTTTGGGCCGTCTAGCCCGTGAACCGTGTTCCTCTGTTGAATACACCATCCCCACGTTTCCATTAACTATACCCCCTGTTTATCTTTTTTATTTTATTTTATTAATTTTATTAATATACATTTGATTATATAATATATAATTATAACAGTTATGTAAATATTATCATTATCATTTCTTATAAACAGGTTGTTTAGATTATATATATATTATATTTTTGTTTTAATTTTCTTTTTGTAAATATACTATATATTATAATTTTATGTAATATACTTATAGTTTTTATTTTAGATTAATTTTCTTTAGAATATTATTAACTAGCTTTTTTCTATATTATATTTTATATATTTTATTTAGGAGTTTTATTAACTTTTCTATTTAGATTTTATTTTATTTTTAGATGTTGAATTTTATTTCGCATTTGTTATTGGACTTTTTATCCCATTTCATCTGTTTTGGTCAATGACGACATTTCCGTAAACCGTTATTAGTCAAACTATTGATAAATAACGTTGGATCTGAGACCACCTTCTTTCTCTCCTCATTTCTTCTTCACTTTCGATTTTATTATTTTTCCGCGATCTATGAAGTCTTTTATTCGTAAGCGTCGAATTTATCGGAGTTGATAACCTTCCCGATTTCAAATCTATGAAAGATGACCATTTGGGTCATTTTCTTTACTTTGGGATCGCGATAGGCTACCTTCGATTAATCAACATTTTTGTTTGCGATTAAGACAAGATCCCACTGTTTTTGGTCTGTGCGACACGATTTAATCGGAGAATGATCCTTAATATCATTTCTTTATCTTGTCTTTTGCACGGATATCAATTACGTGACCTCATATAGTCCGACTTCCATTATAAGTCGAGCTACGACGATTTAGCGTCACATTGTGTCGCGATTCGATTCACTAACACTGTCAAACCATCTTCGATAAGAGACTGAAGTTTCGCTTTGTATTGAATTATAGAGAGAGGATTGAGTGTAGACTTCTTCCTCTCCGAGTGTTGGAATACTCACTGTAGTGTGTGTGGTCTCGATACTCGTCTTTCAATACGAAGACGCTTGTATTCACCACACCTTTTTCTCCTAAAACCTCAGTCCCGTACCGAGTGCATTTTCAAAATCTCTTCAATAAAGGAATCAAGTTTCTCTTTGTATTGAACTAAAGAGAGAGGATTGAGTGTAGACTTCTTCCTCTCCGAGTGTTGGGATACTCACTGTAGTGTGTGTGGTCTTGATACTCGTCTTTCAATACGAAGACACTTGTATTCTTCACACCTTTTTCTCCTAAAAAACCTCGGTCTCATACCGAGTGCATTTTCAAAAACACTTTCAATAAGAAAATCAATTTCTCTTTGTATTGAACTAAAGAGAGAGGATTGAGTGTAGACTTCTTCCTCTTCGAGCATTAGGATATTCACTGTAGAGTGGATGGTCTCGATACTCGTCTTTCAATACGAAGACGCGACTCTATTCACCACCTCTCTTCTCCACAACTTCTTTTTGAACCTTTCTCTCCTAAAACCTCGGTCCCGTACCGAGTGCATTTTTCAAACTTCTTTTTACCATAAAACTTGAATGGTCGTGGAGTGGTTAGGCGTAGGCCTTCTCCTATCCCGAGTGCTTGACATTTACCGTAGGGTTTACAGTCGCAAAGCACTTACCATTCAAACCAAAAACATTTTTAATAAGAGAATGAAGTTCTCTTTGTGTTGAATTAAAGAGAGAGGATTGAGTGTAGACTTCTTCCTCTCCGAGTGTCAGGATACTCACTGTAGTGTGTATGGTCTCGATACTCGTCTTTCAATACGAAGGCGCTTGTATTCGACACACCTTTCATAACAAAACTTTGAGATAAGGAATTGGGTACTACCCGCAAGGGGTTACTATCTAAGGATCTATCTCACCCCTAAAAACAGTCCCACAAATCAAACGTGACATCTTGCCTCGCATGGCGAAAACTAATCTTTTAAAAAGGATATGTTACGTCCGTTCTACCGCAAACAGGTAACGCCTAAGTTTCCAACGAGCGAGAAACAATACACCTAAACTGCTAGAATGCGCACGATAGCATCATCCACAAAAACATCAGTTACCCGTAGCATGAACTACGTTGCTCTAATTTCTCTTGCATGTTGAGAATACGTAGGGATAGGATTGAGACAATCCTAGCGAGCACCCTTTTCTCTTTTTCCCCCTTTCCCCAAAGGCATGCTACGTCCGTTCTATCGCAAACAAGTAACGCCTAAGTCTCTAACGAGCGAGCAACAATACACCTAAACTGCTAGAATGTGCACGATAGCATCGTCTAACATAACTTCCCCGCAAACCATAGGCCGAACTACGACTGCTCTGATTCTTTACTTCTTCTGAGTAAAGATACGTAGGCACAAGGGCCACAATCCTTGCCGAGCATATTCCCCCTATATCTGTAGTTCCCCGAACTACGTCGACTCTGATTTTCTCATATCCGTTGAGAATACGTAGGCCTAAGACCGCGAAGTCCTACCGAGTATGTTCTTTCTCTTCTTCCCCGTTATCTCTCTTTTCCCTATTTCTAGCCCTTCTTTTTCCTCTAGGAACACTCATAGAAAGCAATATATTTTAGCA